AGCGTTTCGTGACCCAGCTAGGGAACCTCCTCAGTGCTAGAAGGGAGCGGGGTTTGCTCTCGTTTCGTATGCCAGGTGCTGGCCTCTCTGAGTCCGTAGTTGAGATAAAGAGTTAACAGGAAATCAAGGAACCAGCCAGAATATTCCCAAGTGCACTGACGGGGAAAGCCGCTTGCGTAGAAACCGAGTAAACCTCACTCTGAGCCTTGATGATGTTCCCTAGTTGGGTCATGAAACGTCTGCAAGGAAACCACCCAGCTCAGAGAGCTCCCAGGATCCCACAGTCTTTTTCTTCTTCCTCCTCCTCCTCCTCCTCCTCCTCCTCCTCCTCTCCACAAACCCCACTCCCTTCCAGCACTGATGGTGTTACTTAGTTGGGTCATGAAACGTCTGCAAGGAAACCACCAAGCTCAGAGAGCACCAAGGACCCCACAGTTCTCGTTCTCTTCCATCTCCTCCCAGTCCTCCAATCCATAAAGTCCCCCTCCTATCACGGATAACATTACCCAGTTGGGTCATGAAATGTCTGCAAGAAAACCAAGCTCGGAGACCACCAAGGACTCCATGGTGGTCGTCCTCTTCTTTTCCTCTTCTGCTTCTCTCTCCTCTTTTCCCTCTTCCCCACTCCTGTTGCTTCCTCTTCCTCTCCTGGTTTTCCCTCTTCTTCCTCTCCTCTTCTGCTTCTCCCTCCTCTTCCCTGTCGTTTCTTCCTCATCTTCTGCTTCTTCCTCTTCTCCCTCTTGTTTCATCTTCCTCTAGTTTTTTCCTCCTCCTGCTTCTCCTTCCTCTCCCCCCTCTTGTTTCATCTTCCTCTTCCCCTCCCCTTGTTTCTTCCTCCTCTTCTGCTTTCCCTTCTTCCTCTCCTTCCTCTTCTAGCACTAGTAGTATCAGAAAGCATCTACATGGAAAAAAAAAAAAACACCCAAGCTGGGAGAACACCAAGGACCCCACATTTCCACACACACACACCCCCCCCAGCTACAAACATTCTCGAACAAAACAACCATTTTTAAGCAGAAAACATTAGCGAGGTCGGACGTAGCATTTTCCTTGGGAAATAAAAGCGAGCACATAGCCACCTGCGAAAGGTTTTCCGGGTAGGGCAAATCCATTCGTTTATTTTGGAAAACGCTCATCCGACAGAACCCGCAGGTGGGTTCTGCAGGTGTGGAAAAGCACAACCGGCACAGTGACAAATTAGGGATGCTTTGTTCCTTCCGCCCCGATCCACAAAAAAAAACACCAAAAACCTTGGTGTGCTTCAAGGAAGCAAAGAGAAATATGAAGAAATGAGAGCCGTCGTTCCACATCCATCAACTTGGCTCTTACCCCCCAAGCCGGAAATGGAATAGCAAGAGTTGGAAGGGCACCTGGAGGTCTTGTAGTCCAACCTCCGCGGCTCAAGCAGGAGAACTCAGACCAAAGGTGTCCAACCTTGGGATTATTAAGCCTTGTGGACTTCAACTTCCAGCTGAGGATTACCTGCAATTCACAAATTCCTGGTTTTTTCCAAACAAATCGGCAGCCCAAAATCTGGGATCCCTGGGCTGAGATCCTTGGGCTGGGATCCCTCTGTGATCCCTAGATTTCATACCCAGCACCAACCCCTGGATCCCACAGCTGAAGGAATCTGCCTTCAACTCACACAGACACACACACACACACGCATCCAATCTTTGGGAATCAACCTGTTTTATTCAACTATTAAGCTTTACTGAATTTCTTGGGGACTTGGGAGTCTTTGATTTATTCCCACTTCCTTCCTAAACCCAAGGAGAACTTGGGGTGCAGAAAAAAGGGGGTCCGGGGGGAAGCTCAGATGAAACCACTTTTATTCCATTGTTTGGGGGGGGGGGGGGGGAGATTTTTTCCAAGGCTTAAGAGCCAAATGGATTCACTGTGTCAGAATTAAGAAAGAACCTAAAATCCCCTGGGTCGAAAAAGGGCTGAGAAATCTACCTTGCTTCTCTCACAATAACATCCCACCGAGAGGAATACGGGTAGCCCTCGACTTGCAATCATTCCGTTTACTGACCATTCCAAGGTTACGGCGAAACAGAAAAAGGGACGTGACCATCTGGCACACCTGCAACCATTAGCCGGGGGTCCACGTGATTAAAATTGAGATTGCTTGGCAACTGACTCGTACTTACGACAGTTGTAACATCCCCCCCCCGGGTCACGTGATTCCCTTTTGCGACCTTCGGACCAGCACAGGTGGCACGCACAGCCATTTGTACAGGCACGTGAGCCCCAGCCAAACTTACTTCACTGTACATGTCTACGCCTCCTGGCTGATTTTCGGCTGGTTTGACTCCTTTTACGGCCTCCCGGAGGCTTGAAAAAAGCCTCTGCAGGTCGAATAGGCCCATTTTGTCACTTTCTGTAAATACCGGAAGTGACAAAATGGGCCTATGATTTGACCTGCAGAGGCTTTTTTCCCCCTGAAAAAGGCCTCAAACCAGCCAAAAATCAGCTATGAGGCGCAGCGCAGGTAAGGGGGGGACCTCGGAAGGCCAAAAAAACGGGCCTTCCAGAAATGCCGGAAGGGCTGAAACGGGCCTGTTTTCAGCCTCCAGAGTTTCCAGAGGCTTCCCTCGAGCCTCCAGGAGGGTGAAAATGGCCGCCTCCGTGCTCCAGAGTCCCTCTGAAGGCTGAAAATGGGTATTTCCAGTATTTCCGGAAGGCCCATTTTTCGGCCTCCCGAGGCTGCAGAGGCTTCCCTCAAGCCTCTGGGAGGGCGAAACGGCCTCAAATGGGCCGAAAAATCAGCTGGGAGGCGCACGCCTGTGCAGTGCAGGTCAGGGGGCAGGGGCAGGGGTGTTGCACGCACATGAGCAGTGGTGGCAGGGCACATTGCATTGTGGGTGCCAGCACGCATGCGCACAAGCTTTTGGCACACTACTACGCCATTACTTGAAGTAGACACTCAAACCATGGGTGGGATTCAGCCGGTTCGGACCGGTTCAGACGAACCGGTTGTTCTGGTGATTAGTTGGCTTCGTCCACCCGCCCCGGCTCTAGTCTTCCCTATATTTCCGTGTTTTGCAGCTCAGCTGATATGCGCAACACAGCGAATTGCCATGGCTCAGCTGTTTTACTCACCGGGGCTGCAGCAGAAGGTAAGTGTCAGGATTCCGGCAGTTACTCCAATGAAATCCTAAGCCTCGAGCCACACTCGCAAAACTAAAGAGGATTTAATTAGCATTCTACATCTGGCACTAACCTGGGCATAGCCAACACTGAGATACGTAATTCACCATCACCCTTGATCCTGCTTTCCCCCTCATCCCTCTTGTGTGTATCATCCAATGAAAAATGTCCATAGCCAAGAGTCATCAATCATGCTCTCCAATTAGATTTTTGCACGGGAGAAGCTTCAATCATCTAATCAGTATTTGAAGAAAGTATGAATGGAATGTATTTTCGATTCCACACTGCTGCCCGCTCTTTGAAACTCCTGTCCCCTTATTTCTGTTGTCAACTATAAAATGTGCATACAAAATGTTTTATGAGTTGACAGTAAGCGTTAGAGCTGAAAATGGCCAATTTTCAAACATTGCACACACAAAGCACACCCTCGCCAAACCGGTTGTGACACCTGTGCACTCAACTCTACTCTTAAGCCAGAACCTCTTGGAAAAGGGTTCCAAAAAAAAAGGTTGGGCCAGGAGGACAAGCCTCGAAGACAAGCCCTTGCTCAAGCAACGGGGTTGGTCTAGAAGACCTCGGAGGTCCCAGGTTTTATGGAACACTTTTTAAGATCGAACTTCAAGAACACAGCCGTTGCTTTGGAAAAAAATATAAAAAAGGTCTGATTTTTAATCAGGGGGCAATTTTTTAATCACGATTCTCTTGAGTTTCAAAGTAGGGTGCAACCTTGCCACGTTCCCCAGGCCAACGTCTCCATCCTGCATGATGTTCCGTTTCAAATTTAAAACACTGAAGTCACGGAGGCTTCCATGTTTCCTCCTCATTGCAATGGAGGGGTGGTGGGCTCAAAAGACGGTAGGGTCCTTATATCAGCTGCAAGATTGTCCTTCTCCGGGCCCCAAACCAACAAACCTGCAGCGACCCCAAACTTCAATCCGTTTTTTTTTTTTTGGCGTCCATCCTGGCAAGAAGCCGAGCGCCTTTCTTTCGAATTGAGCCCGCTTCGGTTCCGAGTTCAAGTTTTCCATGTCATGCAGATACCGCCAAGCGATGCATCACCGGTTCTCTTGCTTTGCAGCAGGAGAAAATGGCCGGCCCACCTCCTCTAAGTGACCTCTGGAGTGCCCACAAGTGCTTCTCTTAAAAACGTGCTCCGGTGGTCGTCAGAAGCCGGAAGCTGGGCTGCGCCAAGAGATCCCCCCTCCCCAGAAATGGCTCAGTGGGGCAGGTGGGACAGACCCTGCCGGACTTTTCACGCCCCGTGGGATGGTGTCCAAATGCCACCGGGTGGGGTGGGCCTTGGGGGATTATCTCTTGGCGTCTCACTGCTGCATGCCGTTGCCCCCGGTCTGCATTTCCCAGCTGCTGGGAGCCCCCTCTGGCATGTTTTGTTGCATTTGCCAGAGCTGGTGAAGTTCTTTGAATTGCAAGACCATTTTGTCTTTGAGATCCGGGTGCGAAATCTGCAAGCGGACGCTGTCGGCCGACCAGGAGAGTTCCCCGGAGAACATTTCTAAAAGGAGCCGGGCGGCTACGGGGACAACCTGTAAGGAGGAAAAAGGAGGAGAGCTGTAGTATAGTAGCATAGAGTATAGAGTAGTATAGAGCAGCCGTTCTCAGCGGAGGATGGACTTCAATTCCCAGAATTCCCCAGCCAATCAAGAGGGATGGAGTATAACTTCCAGAATCCCCCAGCCAGCATGCTTTGAGATGGGTGGATTCCAACTCCCAGAATCCCCCAGCCAGCATGCTTTGAGATGGGTGGACTTCAACTCCCAGAATCCCCCAGCCAGCATTCTTTGAGATGGGTGGACTTCCACTCCCAGAATCCCCCATCTAGCATGCTTTGAGAGGGGAGGACTTCCACTCCCAGAAGTCCACAAGTCTTAAAGTTGCCAAGGTTGGAGACTCAAACTTGCCTGGAGGATTCTGGGAGTTGAAGTCCAAACCCTTTAAAGGAGCCGAGTTCCAAAAGCATTGTGTTAAGTCGCCCTTTCCGATGCCCCAAGGGGAGACCTGCCCTTCGAGGATTGTGTAAACTGGCTACACAACTGTGTGCAAGTGACACACCTGGTCTCGAGTGTGTTAAGGTTTTTTTTTGACCCACCCATTCGATTAAAAGCCACCCGATGGGGTGGATTACAGCTCAGTTCATCCGTTGCCGTTCGCTAAAGTCTACTCTAGGTAGTCCCCGATTTACAACAGTTTGTTGAGCAACCGCTCAAAGTTACAACGGCCCTGAAGAAAGTGACTTAGCACCATTTTTCACACTTCACGACCGTTGCAGCATCCCCCGTGGTCAGGCGATCAGAATTCATGTGCTTGGCAACTGTCTTGTATTTACGACGGTTGCAGCATTTCGGGGTCACTTTTCACAGCTTCCTTACAAGCAAATTAGCAAGATGGTCGTTAAGCAAATCGGGCTTCCCTATTGACTTTACGGGTCAGAAGATCGCAAAAAGGGAATCCCATAACCCTGTGTCATAAATACGAGTCCGTTGCCAAGCGCCTGAATTTGGATCAGGTGAGCGTGGGAAGGCTGCAAGTGTGAAAAATGGCCGTAAGTCACTTTTTTCAGTGATATAACCACGATCACTAAATGAACTTGATGTAACTCATAAGTCACCTTTTTCACTACCGCTGTAACTCAGAACAGTTGCTAAATGAACTGTCGTAATTTGAGGACTCCTTATACTTGTCAGCTCCAAAACTGCTATTGTTGTGGCCCACCGGCAGCTCGCAGAGCTGGCAGCAGACTCAGAAAGTGAGGAGGTTGGGGAGGAGCATAGACCAGTCCTGGAGTCTGACAAGAGGCAGAGATGGAGCCAGGGCCATCTGACACTTATCAGCTGCCTTCGGAGTCGGAGATCAGTGGGGAAGAAGAACAGCTGGAGCCTGTTCCCAGAGTGCGCATGTGCAGAGCTGCCAGAAGAAGGGAACAGCTAAGGAAAACAAGGCAGAGATGGGGCGGGAACCGTCCAACAGTTATCAGCTGCCTTCGGAGTCAGAGATCAGTGGGGAAGAAGAATAGCTGGAGCCTGTTCCAAGTGTGCGCATGCACAGAACTGCCAGAAGAAGGGGACAGTTAAGGAACAAGAGTCCATTCGGGAGTAAGGGCGTAGGTGCATGGTGAATGGGCCCTCCCATAGGGATTAAAAGAGGAGCAAAAGGGGAGTGGGGTTTCCAGGAGACAATTAGTTCATTTAATTAGGGTTAAGATCTGTTCCTGACATCTTGCCAAGTCATTGATGCTACAGCCTGGCGTCTGGAAGCTATTGGCCTGGCAACTCTCCCAGTCTGATAAAGGCCTGTCCTTGTGCAATTTCTTGAAAGACTTGTTGGCCAGGACTTTGCTGGAGAGGAATTCCCTTTAATAAATAAATAAAAGGGGCTTTATTGGGACGAGGAGTCAGCTTCGTGTTTTTGGGAAGGTCTAGGTCAGAACAGCAGATCCCCTGAAATAAACCCACCTGCACTGTGATCAGCTTTTTCTCCTTCGGTTTCTGGTCGGGCCACTCTTCCCCAAAACAGAAGAAAATCTCGTAGGGGGGAGGCGTGGGAGCCTGGCCTTTCTGGAACATGATGAGTCCTGCAGGAAGGGGAAAAAAATAAAAATAAAAAACGTGTCCCAGAGAGAGAGAGAGAGAGGAAAATCAACATTTGACGTTCACCAGAAGGCAAACGGAAACCGCGGCAAAAACAGGAAGGCAAATTCAGAAAGAAAGAAAGAAAGAAAGAAAGAGAGAGAGAGAGAGAGAGAGAGAGAGAAAGAAAGAAAGAAAGAAAGAAGAAAGAAAGAAAAAGAAAGAAAGAAAGAAAGAAAGAAAGAAAGAAAGAAAGAAAGAAAGAAAGAAAGAAAGAAAGAATCCTAACTGTGAAATTGTGATATGCAAACCAATGTATCCCTCACTGAGAAGGGCTGTTCTTTGCTGACTGCATTCGAACGGTGATTAAAATTGGATTTTGGCCTGGGGTGGGGGGAATTGGAGGGCTCATCCAAACCTCCTGCCTCTCTAAACTTGGCAGCTTTAAGACCGGTGGGATTCAACATGTTTTTACTACCGGTTTTTGGCGTGGCTTGGTGGACGTGGCAGGGAAAGGATATACTGCCAAATCTCCCTTTCCTACCCCACTAACCTGCTTTCCAGCTCCGTTCTCCTGTGCAGAGCAACCAAAAAAAAAGACCCAGCCGATTCGCTGTGGGCATGGCTTGGTGGGTGTGGCATTCTGTGGGTGTGGCTTGGTGGGTGTGGCATGGCTTGGTGGGCGTGGCAGGGGAAGGATATACTGCAAAATCCCCCTTCCCTCCCAACCCACTAACCTGCTTTCCAGCCCTGTTCTCCTGGGCGGGGCAACCAAAGGAGACCCAGCTGATCAGCTGGGACTCAATGGGAGGCAGAGAATAGATGGGGTTGGCCGGGTCAAGTCAGAGGTGGGATTGGCCGGTTCTCCTAACTACTCAACATTTCCGCTACCGGTTCTCCAGAACCGGTCAGAACCAGCTGAATACCCACCTCTGCTGTGGACTTCAACTCCCAAAATTCTTCAACCCTCCATGGTGGCTGGGGGATTCTGGGAGTTGAAATCCACCC